CCAACCGGAGACCGGCTCCGATGGTCTGTCCAACCGGAGACCGGCTCTGCTTTGCTCTGAACTAAACATGTCCGGAGCCGCAAAACCCAACAACTGGGATTATCAACTGCTGGCCCATGGGCCACTCAACTGGGATTATCAACTGCTGGCCCATGGGCCACTTTGAGTTTGTTGGAGGCGGCTTTTTCTGCCTGTGGGGGCGACGTTGTATAACTAAAACCCATAATATTTTTAAACATTTATTGATTTTTAAAAAATAATTTATGATGAGTCAATCACGTTCATGTAAAAAAGAAAAAGTTCAGTTTAGAAAAATTTGGCTCAAAATTTAAACTGTTTGTGAAAAATTTAATAATTCAGCGTCCCACTTTAAAGCTCAAAAGGTGAAGGTTAAGGTGAATATAAAAGTTGGTCAGTTTGTTGTAAATGTAAATTTAAGTTATTGAGTGTTTAAATTTAAAACCGATCATTTCATTAACTTTGACTAATTGTTTATTTTCTTCTTATCAAATTAATTTGTCATGTTTCTTCTTAGCAGTTTGTCTTAAAGTTGTTCCAAAAACATCTGGACAGGAAAACAGCTAAACTTTTCCGTCTCCCCTGTAAAGCCCAAAACATCCAGTTTCATGTTCGTTGGGTCAAAGCTTCAAGGGGCCGCTGCAGAGGGACCGAAGGGCCGCATGTGGCCCCAGAGCCGCAGCTTGCGGACCCCTGCTTTGACTGGTTTTTATCTTTTGTGACAAATATCGTCAAAATCGGACATTGATTACACAAGCTCCACATATCTAATTATTTTTAAAGACCACACTTGATGTTTTGTGATCCTCATTGGGGTCCGGACCCCATCATTGGGAGCCCCCTTACCTGGTTCTAACAGGAGAACGAGAACCTGATCTGGTCACCAGTTCCAGTCTCTGGAAGTGAAGCTCTTGTGTCTTCTGTCCTCTTCAGCCAGAAGGTGAGTTTACTGGAGCGAGTTCGTCTTTCCAACGCGAGGCCGTCGGTGGCGACGGGCAAGAAGCTCGCGGGCGAGTCCGTCGAAGAGAGTCCCTCCAAGGAGCCCAAACCTGCCGGCTTCAGCAACCGGGAACGCTTCCGCACGGCCTTCCGCATGAAGGCCTCCACGCTCCGGCAGAGCTCTGAAGGTAAGAGGAGGCGAAGGACCTCGACGAGCCGACGAGCGACTCTGAAACGTGTTCTCCTGTTTTTCTGTCAGACGCTGGAGCCCTGACTGACCCAGCCTTAGAGGATCGAGGGTTCCCCCCAGACATCCTCCTGGAGGAGATGATCCCGACCCTCAAACTAGTCATCAGGGCCGTCAGGTGAGCAGCTCAGAGACCGGACCTGTGCAGGGTTTCTTTAGTGTCAGTTTTTCACATCAGAAGTCAGAACCTTCCATCAGCCCATCGCCTCCGTGCTGACAGCTGGCATTCTGGGTAAACGGCTCTCCTCTGGCCTGGTTTTGGTCCCAGACGTCTTGTGGTTCCTTCAGACGAAACAAACCTGAGTCCTGCAGCCATTTTGTTTTTGGAGAACCTTAAGCTGCAAAACCAAAACCTGAAATTAGCAGAAAGAAACTAAAATAAGCAGTAAAAGGTTTAAAGCAGCTAAAGGGTTTAAAGCAGCTAAAGGGTTTAAAGCAGCTAAAGGGTTTTAAGGACGTGACGAGCTCCATTTATTTTCAGTGAGACAAAAATGGCCGACTGAGCCAAACATTTCACAAACTGCACAAAAACCAAAGCTGAAGCAGGAACGTCCTGAACGAGCCGAATGTTTTGGTTCATGAATCCTTGAAACAACAAAATCTGCTGAACGAGCTGAAAAATGGGGGGTGGTTGTTAACATGTAAATTAAGCATTCTGGTATACTCCTAGAAGATAATTAGGGAAAAGACCACATGCTTCAGGTAAGACATTTACTAACATCCAATTTGCATTAGATGCATTAGAGATAGCATCCCAAACTGATTTGCATTGAACCGAGTGACATTCTAACTACCGTTAACGCACAACTCTCTGACAGCTGACATCCTAGCTAGCATTATTGACGAGCTTTCCATTACCGATAACGTTATGCTAGAAAAGGTAACGGATTGAGACCCACGATGTTGCTAAAGTAGGATCGTTTTATTCCAAATCTAGTTCAACTTACACGCATATTATATCGTTGGCAGATAACGAGACTTACCTCCAAACTGTGTCCAACTTTAGAAGTGACTGGTTATAACGTAGACCAGTTTCCTTCGTCCATGGGAAAGATTTCCCGATCGTCTATCTTGATTGTGATTGGCCAAATGACTCGCGTTCCACCACAGATGTTCTATTGTAGACAGCCACCTTGTTGTTTAAGTTCAATCAATGGGAAATGATGCCGTCTACCACGTCTCTGACCCACTCCGCAAAAAACTCTGAATCTAGATGAGTCACGTAAACGACATACTTTGTTTAATATTTGAAGTTTACAGGAATGAACTTAGCCGCAGCTAATCAACTTTAGCTAATGGCAGAAACTCAGCCAAACTTTACAGATGTGGCTTTAAACTGGTGAGGTAGTAGCTGAGAGTCATCCCCAACTCAAATGGTGCACCTCCAGGAAGTTTTTCATTTTATGTTTTTACTCTGTCAAAATGTAAACCGATCCAGTTGTCAAGTCTCGATCTTGGACTTTGTCTCACAGGATCATGCAGTTCCTCCTGAACAAGAAGCAGTTTAAGGAAACTCTGAGGCCTTATGACGTCAAAGACGTGATCGAGCAGTACTCCGCCGGACACCTGGACATGCTCTGCAGAATTAAATACCTCCAGACCAGGTGAACGTCCACGGTACAGGTGGAGGGGGGCTTGAGTTTGGTTATCATCTTCTGTATTCTCAACCCGTGCGTCTTCTTTAAAAGGATCGACATGATTCTCGCCCCTGGACCTCCCCTCACCCCTAAAAGCAAGAAGACCCAGAAAACTCCCTTTAACTACCCGTCCAATCAGTCGCCCAGGTACCGTCACACACTGCAGCAGATGGTCGAACACGGTTTAACGTGACTTTTATAAAAATGTGCTTCTTAAAAACACCCTTTGTTCCAGGCATGAGTCCTACATAGCCAAAGCCACCTCCATGCCAGATGCTGAAGACCAAAGCATGATGGGTAGATTTATCAGGGTGGAGAGACAGGTGAGGACTAGAACAATGGCTTTACACCAACGTCCATGCAACATTGTTGGGATTTATTACAAAATAAACATGGGAAGGGATGAAATTCAAACACAACCCCAAAGAGAAGAAACAAAAGTTCATACTTGAATTTTGGTGCATGAATCTGATGTTTGACGTAATCCACTAAAAGCAGATTAGATGAACAAAACCGATGTCCGGCAGCAGTGTTTAATTTGGTGTTACAAACAACCGCAGAGTTCCTTGTACAGTTAAATGTTTCTGAAGTTTTCTTACTGAACCTGAGGGCGCCGACACGCAAGCACTGAAGTACCATTCCTTACCATTCTGTGAAGCGTCCTCTACGCACAGTTTCAAAATCAAACGTGAAACTCATGCACCAAATCAAAGAACAGTCCTGTTTGGACCTCCAGCTCAGACTTCACAGCAGAACCGTCATTTAGACGTTAAAGGTCTCAGAAAGTTGGACTTTTCATGATCGAGCAGTTTTTACACGGTCACAGTTCGAGTTTGATGCTTTTTATTAGATTTTTCCACAAAACCTTTAACTGACGGTCACTTTGATGCTTGTGAAAACCTCTGCCGCAGGTGGAGGACATGGAGAAGAAGTTGGACTTCCTGGTGGACATGCACATACAGCACACCGAGCATCTGCAGGTGGACTCGGCCGGCACCGCCCGCATGACCCTGGAGGCCTGCGACTCCACGGTGAACGGTGAGATCAGGCGGGTTTTCCTCAACTACTCCGAGGTGTTCCCCCACCTGTCGTACCAGGTTCCGGTCGGGAAGGAGAGCCTGAGCTGCGGAGGAGGACGAGGAGTTGGAGACCGGGCGGTGGCAGCGGCAGGAAGCTGTCCTCCGGCCGCCGTCGCCCGGTACACAGAGCGTCCGACGGTGTTGCCCATCAGTTCCCTGCAGGACTTGTCGGTGGGGCCGGGCAGGACCACAGGGGGGCGGGGGGGTGACTCACCGCTCTCCATGTTGTCTGTGAACCACGAGGAGCTGGAGCGCTCGCTCAGCGGGTTCAGCATCTCCGGGGAGCGTGAAGGGGCGGACCTGTCGATCGGGACTGGGATGGCGACTGGCGAGGCCAGCTGGACGAGACCCAGGCCAAGTTACCTGGCGGAGGGGGAGACGGACACGGACACAGACCCGTTCACGCCTAGCGGGGGAGCCATGCCTCTCTCCTCCACGGGGGAGGGTTTTGGGGACTCTGAGTGGAACACGCCGCCCTGAGAGGAGTCCGAAATCCACGTCTGTAAGACCTTCAATCCAACCCAAGCCTCTAAACCCAAATCACTGGGTCCAAGCCGCACCTTTGGGCCGAACCTTTGGGGTGAAGGAGGGTTTTATCTGCCTCCATGCTGCACGGTCCAGTGAGACCACTGTAGTCCAGACAGAGCCGTGGTACTGAGCCCGCCTGGAAAATAGGAAAAGGGAAACAGATTGTAAAGAAAAACTCTGTACAGAACACTCTCCGCAAAAATTTAGCCGACTTCAAAGAAAAAATAATTATTCTACATATTATATACACCCAAAAGCTTTACTGCTGCAAAGCCAACCGCACTGCATGAGATGCATGCGACTTGTAGTGTAGACGCCGCAAACTTCAGGATATCAAAAGAACAGCGGTTGAACGGATACGTATACCTGCTATGCCATTTTGTAACACCCATTTTTTATACGAACGCGTCCCCATTGTTTTTGCATGGTCTGCATGATGATGCACCGTTTCATGAGGTGGAGATCGGAGGGGGAACCTGGAACCAAAAGTCTCCGGTCTTTTGTTGTTCCGTTTGTCGATTGTGTGAACGATGCTTTTAGTTGAGCTTCCTTTGGTTTCGATTCTGTCCAAAAACCAGCGTTTCTGTTCCTCCCATCATGGCATCACTGTGCTCGTTACACATTCAAACCTTTCTGCTCAACGAAACTCTTAAAAAAAATAATCTGACTGGAATCTAAACGTCTGCTGCTTCGGCGGCACATGAATTCAGGGATATCAACCACCTGCACGCTTTTAATCTACCGTTTTCTGAACGCTTGGTAGAAATTTAAACCATGTTTTCTACAGAAGAATGTTGTCGTTTCAAACTGTAACTTTGGCAGAAGTGACACTTTTAATTTCAAGGTTCTGTAGCAGGAAATTCCTACTGGGTCCAAAATGTGGCTGTTTTTACACGTAAACATGTTGATTGAGCCATATCCTTTCAGCTCCTTCCTGTGGGGAGCGTCAAGATCGACTTTTGGATGTTCATAAATGGACATGGACTAATTTAACTTGGGTCGGGTCTCGTGTTTCCTGATTGGAACAGTTAAATATCACATATTTAACATATTGGACATAAACTTCTCATTAGGAACAACTGTGGCAGAACCTTCACAAACGATTAAAACCTTGCTGTCTTCATAAAACTTGAAATGTTTTCATTGATTACATGTTTTCAGCAGACATTTTATGCCTTTTTATAATCTTATCAAACTAACTGAATAAACACCAGGGCTACTTTTTTCTGTATTTGCCAAATTTTAGATTAGTAATTTAATTTATTCTTGTCTGCCTTTCAGATGCCAAATGTGATTTTAACTGAGTCACAAATGATTTACATACAATTATACTCATATTTAAAGATATAAAACTCTATTTCTAGTAATAAATTCTCACATAGCTCATTTATTTTACAAAAAAGTAAAAATCTGATCTTTTAACATTTTCAGTAGTTGTTTTAGATGTTCAATAATATTCAAACTTTACATGAAATATAGGAATGCTGAGCCACAGTTAATCTACTTTAAACAAGGCCTTTGTCAACGTTATAATCTAAACTTCACTATTTAAAGTAACAATACTTCTGTTCCTTAAACTTATACAGTATTTAAAAATAGTTTATGATGCGATGCAAATTATATAGTTTGATGCAATGTAAATCATAAAATATATAATAAAATGGTAGAATGTCCCTGTAGAAATTAGAGCCCGACCGATATGGAAATTTTTGCTATCGCGATACCGATATTAATATCTATATTAATATCGGTATTAATATCGGTATCGCGATTGGGCGGGGGAGGCTAATGCTGATAACCGATATACCGGCTGGAAATTTTTGATCTTTGTCCACCTCCAAGAATCTAAGGAAACAGCTGCTTTTAAACCTGTTTTAACTCTTGAAGTCTTGAAACAGTCTTTCTAACGTGCTTTCACATTTTCTGTCCTCCACTATTCACCATAAACTTGTCAAGTTTCACAATAAAGTGAAAATGAAAGTTACAGCGATCATGTCTTGAAAGCAGTCCGCATGCATCCTCTGCTGGATACTTTGTACAATTACGGCTGGTTCCAGCATTGTAGGGGTGAAAATTAGAAGTTTTTATATCGGCGCATAATGGGACAATTATCACCGATTCCGATATGACCCCAAACTTCTATATCGGCTGATATATTGGTCGGGCTCTGGTAGAACTCATTCATTGTGCCTCTGAAGCAAGAAAACATCCAGAATCACTTCGTTTAGTCATTCCACCACACGCCTCACACGACACGCAGGATTTAAGACTGCTTTTATGAAAAAGGACAATAAATGTTCGAAGGTACAGTCCGGGCTTTGTATAGAAAATGTGAAGGTTTTTGTTGTTTGTAATATTGTTCCTTTTCTTGCTGAAGTTCAAATCGTCTCAAGTCGTCCTTTAGTCCTCGCTGAATCTTGTATTTTATAATTCTCTCTGAATTTTTTGCACACCAGCATTTTTGTTGCCTTTAACATCAATATTTCTTACATGGGGTCAGATTTCTATTCCGACAGAAAGTTCAAACATATTTCTGCTTCCTCTCTCTGGCTCCGTCAACACTACGAATACTTTTGTAAAAACGAAGGATTTTTACGTTGTTTACCAAAATATCTCTGTCCACACGTTTAACAAAAACCCTGAAGTACTGACGCCTCTCCACCGGGGGGCGGAGCATGTTCACGATAACCAATCAAAATGAAGAACACGCTAAGCTTCACTAAACATTCTCCCAAATCTATTTATGCCAAAAGTAAGTTTATTTCGGCCGCTCCCTTCTTCAGGGGTCACCACAGAGAGCGTGAAAAATTTGGCAGTTTACGTCTGATGTCCTTCCTGAAGCAACCTGGCCTCAAACCAGCAACCTCTGGATTACGGCGGCGCTGACCACCGAGCTACCGTATACCCAAATCCTGGGAGCACTGGTCCATATATACAAACACGGCAAATCACTGTTAGAATAACAAAATGTTTGTAAATGATTTAAACAAAAATGGTCTTCCACAACGCTCAAACACGTAAAAAAAAGAAGATACAATCTGAATTTTACACTTTTAATCTTAAGTTTGAGACTTAATGACCCAAAACAAAAAGTCGTAAACTCGGTGTCTCAAAAAGCAAATGCTAGCATTTCTTGTTGCGTAGAAAAATGTCACTTGAATTTCTTGTCTGTTTCATGAAGTGGTTTTGTTTTAGATTCAACTGGTTTGTCTTTTTAAATCTGAAGTCTTATTTTTAGCCACACGTTCTATTAAACGTCTTAAACGTTTAGTAATTCAACACAAACGAGCTTCATAATTTGATCTAAAAACTGCATTTTACTTTAAAACAAACTAAATCTGTTGGAGTTTTAAAAATGGATCAATTTGTGAATTTGACAATTAAGTTTGTTTTTGTTGTTCAAATTAATTGTTTCCGAAACTGGATTTTCAAACATGTTTTGGTGTTCTACCTAATTGGTTTCCATTTTAAATACTTTAATATTTACTGGACTGTGCAGTAAAATGAAACAAGTTTGTACGTAGTACGTACTGGCTTCAGTGGTGTTTCCTCTCTGTTAATCAGCGACAGATATTTCTCTTTTTAAAATCCCTTTATAATTTTTTTCCCCGTTTTACCATTTTATTTGGTCTTGGTCCAACAACAACAGACTATACAAAACAAATCAACTTTGATACTAAACTAGTATATTGATGCATTGAGGTCAATAATTGGATTAACATTTTTGAGTCAAAATTGATGTAAATGGACAAATGGATGAACCTGAAAATTAAAAAAAAAAAAAACCCTACATCATATGTCCAATAAAAGTTCCAAGCATCATAATCAAATGCCTGTGGAAATTTAATTTATAAAGTAAACAAACATGCATAAAAATAATTGGATAAGACAAAAACAAAACAGCTTGCAGAAAGACGTTTACGCAAGTTAGCTTTGTAATTTTAATTGGCACTGAACGGTGAAGTTTTCTAAAATACCTTCTTGATGCTTGCTAGCTGACGCTAAAAATGGTTAGCACCATCCAAGTTGTATTTAACTAGTTGATGCTAATAACTGTTAGCACCAGCC